TGCAGTGCCTGGCCGACTGGACGGACGCCGACGGCCGACACTTCGTCGCGCTGATGGACGTGACGGCTTCGGAGAGCGATCGGCCCCGGTATCGCTGCGCGGTGAGTCCTGGCCGAGACGCGCTGACGCTGCGCGGTGAGTCCTGGCCGAGCCGTGCTACCGCTGCGCGGTGAGTCGCTGCCGCTGCGCGGTGCTGAGTTCCTGGCCGAGACGCGCTGCCCGCCTGCGCGGTGAGTCCTGGCTGAGCCGTGGCTACCGCTGCGCAGTGAGTCCTGGCCGAGCCGTGCTGCCGCTGCGCAGGTGATGAGTCCTGGGCCGGACCGCGCTGCTGCTGCGCGGTGAGTCCTGGCCGGGCCGTGGTGCCGCTGCGAGCGCGGGGGTGGCACGCGTGAGCTGCCGAGTTGGTGTGCGGGCGGCGGTTTGTCGAACCAGTGTATCTGTGAGTGGCGTTGTCGAGGCGGTTTGTGTGCGTGTGGGCTACGAGTCAGCCCACGTGCAGACTCGTTGGGGTCGACTCGACAGTGGTTGTGTGCGTGAACATTGCCGAGTCGCTGTGGGTGCGTTGGTGGTCAGCATGCGTGCGTGAGTTTGCTTGATTCATTGTTTGCTTTAGCGAGGTGTACGGTCGGCGTGCCTGCGTGTCACTTACCGAGTGACCGTGTGTGCACGTTAGTGGTGGTGGTGGTGATTTGGTTTTTGAGGGCGCGTCAGCATCGGGGCCATTTTGCGCACGTTAGTGGCCACGTCAACGTGTTTGTACTTGTACTTTACGCGCCATGTGTGTGAGTTCCACGCATGGGCGCGTGGATGAATGCTGTGAGTCGCGTGTGCGTGCGCCGGTGAGCTCCGAGGGCTGCGGCCGGCAGCGAGCCTGGCCGGACGACCTGACCGGACGACCCGGCCGGACGCCGCCTGCTGCCGCTGATGGGCGCCGTGGCCGGTCCCGGCGTGCACCCCCGGCGGCAGCGGCGTGATTTACTGGCCGGGCCTCTGAACGGCGCGCCGTCCGCCGGCATTCTCGCACGCAGGCCGGCCAGCCGACGGCGCGCCGGTGGGACGGGTCCCCGCGCGCCGGCCGCGCCAGGCTCGCCGCTCGCCGAGCGGCCAGCGGGCCGGTCTCGGGGGGGGGGGGGGGGGCTGGTGTTGGCTCAGGGAGGAGTACCGACGGACGAGGAACGCCCCGGGCCGCGATGTGCCGCGACACGGCGCCAGTGATGGGCAGGTTTAAGAGAAATAATGAGTTTATATTCGGTAGCTCTGAACAGGCTGTAGTTGTTTACTATTCACGAGCCGTCGGCCAGTGATACTATAGACAGTCACCAGTTTTTTAGCTCATAAAATGAGGTTTTAAATAACTTGTTCAGTTCACAGGACGGCTGTCCAAACTTTGTTTCACTTGACTTAATGTACACCTGATTGGTACTAAAGACCCAGGCACGTACCCTGAATTTTCGTCAGGCCGGGGCTAAATGTCAAATTTTCTCATAGCTCCTACGAATTCCGTCAGAGTTCCTACGAAATCGCTTAGTATCTTCTGTGTGAAACTCTTCACTCAGGGGGGGGGGGTCAGGTCCCCCGGTCGTACGAGGTCCGAAAAAAGCAACTTTCGTGGGTCACTGAGCTATGGCCTGGCAGAATGCCTACGGGATACTCCAGGCTTGAAACCGTCAGCTGAAACAAAAGGATCACGCACTATCACGCATCAACGGCCGGTGCAGACATGCGCATGTAAATCCTAGAATTGGCAGCGATTAAACACTCACTTCTGACCTGGATATCCCAGCCCAAACGCACAGCGGGGCAGAAACACAACTCCTCTTCCAACTGACTGGTACAGCCTCACCGCAGGGCAGTGAGCCGCTCCGTGCCGCGACGCCTCCAGCCCTGTCCCCACGCCGGCCGGGTGAACGGCCCACGATCACGACACCCCGCCTGCCACAAGAAGCGGCGGTGGCGGCACGCAGTCCGCTACTGCATTCCGCTAATGTAGCGGTCACGGCCGCGGCCGCCGCTGGGACGTCGGCGGCTGCCGCAGGCTGTGATGAGAACCGGCCTGCCAAAGCTGCCGGGCAGCCCCCGTCGAGCGGCCACAGCATGGCGCGATGCGCCCCTGGCTGGCACCCAGCCCGCCTCGCACGAACTCGCACGCTCCATAAGCCCCTGATGAGTTTGTGATGGCGTGTCTGCTGTGACCATCAGCGTCGCGGTCTGGTGCGCCGGCCGAGCCTGGGTTGGCTGACGTGCCGCTGCTGATGGGCAGTATTTAACAAATAGTTGCGCCTTGCCACTGCGCTGCGCCAAGGATGGGATGACGCGCTCGGGGCTGACGATCGGCTGATTGGCTTTACTTGACTGACGAATGCTGTACTCGATTGGCAAAGCTCGCCATGGCTGCGGTAGAAGGCCTCACGCCTCAGTGACTACCTTGGCCATAAAATATTGACGGGAGACACTTTGCCGTGGTCATCCAGGATCATACTCGGTGGAGATACTGAGACGTATTATAGCCACATGTATTTTACCTACGTCCGGGGTAATATTCTGCTGTCTCCTTGGCGTGAACTAGCCGCGACGACGACACAAAGGAACAGGTAGGCGAAAAGGATCGATACTGCGCCCCTGCATGTTGCGTTGAGTGACGCCTGAGAGCGGAGCCATTGGCTCCAAAGCCAGCGTGACGGCTGTCATCGGCGTCACCTGGCGGACCGCCGTCACACACTGCCACAGTGCCGGCGTCAAGCACTGGTCAACATGCGCTACACCGCCACACACCGTCACAGTGCCGGCGTCAGGCCCGGTCAACACGCGCCATACTACCGCATACGGTCACGGTGTCGGCATCAGACCCCGGTCAACACACACCATCACAGTGCGGGCGTCAGACCCTGGTCAGTACGCGTCATACTGCAACACACCATCACAGTGCCCCCGTCAAACCCTGGTCAGTACGCGTCATACTGCCACACACCATCACGGTGCCGGCTTCAGACCCTGGTCAACACACTGCTCTCCTGGGCGTCTGCGGGCCAGGGGAGCCGCACCGCCGGCGGCCGACTCTGGCCGCCGCTGTTGACGCCCGGCCGTTTGCTCGGACCCGGGGCCGCGTGCGCCGACGTGTCTGCGAGAGGTGCCGCGTCAGCTGGCCGTCACAGGCGCCGAGCACGCTCCCGTCGGCAGACTGGACCCGCCCCTCGGAGCCCGTCACGGGCCACCGACGCCGCCCACTGAATATTCAGGACCGGCGGTCGAGCAGCGCGTTTGTGTGTGTGGGAGGGCGGGGGGGGGGGGGGTGTAACGGGAGGGGGTGTTTGCACGGGCGTGGCCGACGCGTCGACAGGAAGCCGGCCCTGAAATCCGCCGCGCGGCCCCCAATTACGGCGGCCTGTCCGCGGCATACCGGCGCGGATTGAGGCTGGCAGTGGCGGAAGGAAGGAAGGGAGGGGATGGGGTGAGGTTGGATCTGTGCCGGACCTCCGCACCGCGCCGCCGCCTCTGCCGGCCTAAGCGGCGCCCTCGACAAATGGGGCTGTGCTGTCCTGGGAATGTGGCGTTTCGTTGAGAAGAGACCGTTATGTGCTGGCTTTGCAATGTTGTATTACTTGATGGCCGTGATGTATATTTTTACTGCGTAAAGTGAGCATTTGCAAAAGCTAGACCAGAATGGGCAAATGCAACCGAGTGTAGTGTACTGTGCGCAAATGATCAGGTGGAATAGTTTTTGAAGATCTTTTCTAAAAGCGTATGTGTCATGTATGATCATGCGTTCGGCTTGTGGTTCACAATCAGCTGCAGGAATTGCAAGTAACTGAAGGCTCGCCATGCATCCCTGCCACATGGCGTCTCGCGTAAAGAGCAGGTCCAGAATCATTTAAACTATTTCCATTACAGTCGTGCAATCACTTCCATAGCAACTGTACCGGTGCTCTAAAAAAAGAACGGTTGCTTTGGGTACTGGTAGGAGTTGGACTCACTGTTACCCGCGCGTGCGTCCCCAGATGTACCGAGAGGAGTTGGGTTCACTGTTACCCCGCACGTCCCCAGATGTACCGAGAGGAATTGGGCTCACTGTTACCCCGCGCGTCCCCAGATGTACGGGGAGGAGTTGGGCTCACTGTACCCCGCGCGTCCCCAGATGTATCGAAAGGAGTTGGGCCCACTGTTACCCTTTCGTCCCCAGATGTACCGAGAGGAGTTGGGCTCACTGTTACCCGCGCATCCCTAGATGTACCGGGAGGAGTGGGCTCACTGTTACCCCGCGTCCCAGATATACGGGGAGGAGTTGGGCTCACTGTTACCGCGCGTCCCAGATGTACCGGGAGGAGTTGGGCTCACTGTTACCCCTCACGTCCCAGATGTACGGGAGGAGTTGGGCTCACTGTTACCCGCGCGTCCCCAGATGTACCGGGAGGAGTTGGGCTCACTGTTACCCCGCGCGTCCCCAGATGTACGGGAGGAGTTGGGCTCACTGTTACCCCGTGTCCCAGATGTACGGGAGGAGTTGGGCTCACTGTTACCCGCGCGTCCCAGATGTACCGGGAGGAGTTGGGCTCACTGTTACCCCGCGTCCCCAGATGTACCGGGAGGAGTTGGGCTCACTGTTACCCGCGCTCCCAGATGTACCGGGAGGAGTTGGGCTCACTGTTACCCGCGCGTCCCCAGATGTACTGGGAGGAGTTGGGCTCACTGTTACCCCGCGCGTTCCCAGATGTACCGGGAGGAGTTGGGCTCCGGCCGCATCTTCTTGGCGTTCTCGTCGGATTCCTCCTGCCACCGTCAGCTGGTGAACGCCACGCACGGCCACGAACGACTGGTGCTGTACGCGGCCGTCTCGCACCCGTGGCCTCCTGCCGTGCGCCGCGCCACCTGCACGTTCCCAGACTGGGCGCAGGGACACTGGCAGCACGCGCACGTGGACGGCAACACGATCGTCTACAAGGACGTCGCCAACTTCAAGAGCTACACGGCGCGCTGCATCGGCGGCCAGCACGAGAAGTTCGTCATCTACTCCCGCTCGCACTGGTGGGTGCGGCCTGGCTTCGGTGGAAGTATGCGCGTATGAGGTGTCTCCCCGGTACACGTGCCGTTGACGCCGGGCCGCGCGGCCTGGACCCCTGCCGCGGTGCTGTCCAGCGTTCCGCTGAGCCTCCCACGACGGGAGGGCGATCGTCAGTTCCCATCAGCGCCACCAGGGCTTTGCCTGGCCGACTAAGTCAGCTTCCGTGCGGTCTTCTGGGCACTGACCTTGCGGTGTGCCTCCGCAGCGGCGAGGAGATGTACAACTGCATCTGGCTGAAGGAGCGGGCGGTGAACGTCATGGAGTTTCAGCTGGGTGAGTGCGGCGCCGGCGGTGGCGATGAAGGCCCATCTGAAGCCGCGATTGGCAACGGTGTTGTGCGGCTGGCCGGCCTCCAGCCTGCATGCCGGACCTCTATAATTGCCGACCGCTGATGGTATCTGGCCGCGCGGAGGTGATTTCTGCACGTGTTGGAGTGGCCTGCCCGGTAATTTCCGGCGCGCCACGTGACCCCGGAGCGGCTTGGAATGTGCGGTTATGGCGGCGCGGGTCAGACCCGGTGGCGTCGCACTGCTGCCAGCCGTGAAACGCTCGCGCTCCGACAGAGCGAGTGCAGCGGGCCTCCCACAAAGCGACTCTCAGGTCATCGACGGCCGAGTTAACGCGGATCGTGTACGCATAAAAAATGAGTGTCTCGTGCAGACGCGGATTTCCTGAGCTGGCCGATCTTCAGGCGTTCAGCTAGATTCCAAGGAAGACAACGTCCATCCGCTCACTGCCAATTGCGCGGCCTATTGCAGCAGTTCATCTTAATAACGCGGAGATGTTAACTTACGCAAGAACGGAGTACAGCTCTTGGTCTTGTCCGTGCGTTGTGCCTGCGTGGTGCGAGATTGTTAGTATAATTAGTATTAGTATTATTAGTAGCAGCAGCAACACCATTTTTCTCATCAGTTATGTTATTATTATTATTAGTATTATATTTTTATAATTAGGATATTTCTCATCGGTGTTAGCTGCCGTCAACCAGATTTCCATATGTTAAACGAATCATTCAACGAACAAAGCTGGTCTCAAAAAAAGATTAGCCTTCTTTTGCTCAATCGCCACAATGTTTTTTTCCGTGCCGCCGTTAGCTGATATGCCCGAAGAGCTTCTTTTGCGGATCTGCCTTTTGAAAGATGCTTCTTCGCTGTGAACGAGCAGTAGCACGTGCAAATCTAGATTACCTTCCTCGCGTCGGGATGCGGTGCGGCAGCGGTCACAGAACGTGTGCCGGCGCCCAGGTCGTACAAACATCCGGCCAGAACCGCAGCGTGCCATACCTCAGACCGCCGATACTCGCCGCACGCGGCGAGCGGCCGGGCCCGCCTCCTCCGGCGCACACGGCACGCGCTCGCATCACGGCTGGAGCAGCGCGCCACAGGCACGCCTCTGGACTGGCCGTAGTCGGGGCAGCGTCGCGCGCCGTGGCGCTGGTTTCGTGTAGTCGCCGGAGCCAACACGGCGCCCTTTCCTATCAGACGCAACGGGAGGCACGGCGCTACCATCGTACCGCGTGGCCTTTCACATGGATGCGTATGAAATGCCATGTTGTTTACTGTCTCCTTGGTTTGCATTCCAAAGCTTTGAATGAAGGCGAGGTGAAGGAATCGCTGACCTGTGCTCTTTTGGAGCGTCCGCTGCTCACAGCTTGCACGGCGTGCAATATCACAACCGCAAGATTAGCATCGTTGCAGCGCGGATACCTGTGTCGTTGATACCAACGGCGCAGCCCGCTCGCCTGCGCGGCGGATATCAATCACGAACGCATAAAGCTCCGGTGTGCGACCTTGGCCCGGTAATGACCTGTTGTCGGCGCGCCAATGGCGAGCGGGCCTCCATCAGCGGGCCGGCTGCGCGTGGGACCCGGCCGGCCAGCGGCCCGCCGGTGCCGCGGCACGTCCGGGCGCTGCGGCCGCGGGCGCGCTGTTGTGCCGACTGCGTCCGCCAGCGAGCCCTGTTGCACGCGGGCGGCGCCCCGGAGCGGCGCCCGCGCTGCAGACGGCATCCGGCGGCGGGCTCTGGGCTCTGTTGTGTGTAAACAGCGCGCGCTAGGGGAGGTTTTGCCGTCCCGACGGTGGCCTGGAGCGCTTTCGCACGGGTTCGGAGATCTTTGATGAATGGACTGTGTTGGGCGAGAGGGGCCTGTCGCAGTTCAATGTCCCGGAAAGAGCTGTGTAATGCAGGCCGTGTCTGTACTACTCAGGAAGCCACCGTCGGCTGTCCTGTGTGTGCGGGCATAGAGCGTGCTGTGCAGACCAGTCCGGCGAGAGCTCGCTCTGCTTTGGTGCGCTGTGCTCAAAGCGAGTTTTTGTACAGGCTGTATCCCAGAAAGGTGGTTGTCATACAGATCTTGGGGGATTATCTATCGCCGACACCGTTTCCTTGGGTACTGGGATAATGTATTGAATGACTGCATCTGAGAGGGAATGTCCTTTTTAAGACATCTTCTCAACCAAGGGAGTAACATTCGTGCGACAGTACGCGTGCCCGCCGAGCAGCTACGCCATTTTTTGGTAGTTTTCATTTGTAATGGTAAAACCATGCTGAATCAGCTTTCAGCCACGCATGAGTTAACAAGTGGGAAAACGCGGATGCAGCCAGTGATAAATGAGGCCAATGCACCAGCGGATTGGGAAGGCGGTGTAATCGGGTGCGATGATTTGCAGCCTTCTGGTGGCCGGCCTCGGGCTGAGCAGTTTGCCTCTATTTTTTCATCAACGAATTGTAAGCGGATGTCTCCAGTGCAGCAGCGTTGTCCAAACAGTCGTCAGACTTCACAGCCTGGATTTGTTCGACTTTTTGGACTAGAGTAGCTCGTTAGACAAGCCCAGAATTGACGCAGCTTCGTTAGTTCAACTCCCAGCGTTCGCAGCTCTGCTCGGCGGCTAGTACTGTCAAAGCTACGTTTAGTCAGCTCCGAGATGCCACAGTTCCGTGAGATTAGCTTGGGCCCATCACAGGCCCGTTAAACCTGCCCCAAATCCTCAAAGCGTTGTTATATTATCTCCCAGAGGCTACAACAGCGTAAGATCAGCCGCACCTGTTACAAAGTTGTTCCATCAGCTCCGAACTGTTGGAACTTTGTTATGTTAGCTCCGATATGTCACAGTTCGAATGGATCATGTCTGACGTTTCCCATGGCTTCCACCCTCGAAGCTTCGTTGAATCAGTTGGTATCTGTCATACGCTCGTCAGCCCAGCAGCGGGGTGTCCAAGCTCCGCTAGATCAGATCCGATGTCTGAGTCCCGTCACATCAGTCCCGAGAGGTCAGGGCTCAGCTCGATCGGCTCCCAGATGACGAAGTCCGGTTTATTAGCTACAACATGTCACAGCTCCAGCTCATGGGTGGCGTTCGATGTTGCAGGTCTGATGCCGAGCAGACGGATTTCCAACAGCTTATGCGGACCTCACCGTTTCCTGGACACCGGCTGGATCACGCAGGGCCGTAAGTACACTGGTTGGTGGAGGCTTGCCTTTTCAATGCCGTTTCTGATTTATTGATTTTGTATGCTATATTTACCGTTATGAATAAAAAGGGATGTTTGGAACCGGCATGCATATATTTTAAATTGCTGGCAAGCACTGATTCCTGTCATAACGGTAAAGTCCTTCTCTGCGATGGGTTGTAGTTAGAAAGGTCAAAGACGGCTCTTCGCAAAATGGAAATATTTCTTTGAACCAACACATTCATCACACACTGACCTGCTACTCCCACTTTCTTCATGTACGGTGTAGAAAAGATAGGTGGTACGTTGACTAACGTCAAGCTTCTCGCTCTTTTCTCACTTTTCACACAAGACGCGCTGAAAAACTGTCACCTCAATTGAAAAGCTGTATTTCTCTCAAGTTGATGTGTTAAGAGAGCCGTTCAGGAGGAAAATTGCCGCGTTGTTCAAATGGGCACGCTGGGTATGGGCGCCGTTCGTAATCAGGGGAGTTCTTTCGCTGCTTAACTCCTCATGTACGATGGATATTGACGCATTGACGAGACCAACTTTTATGGGCTGCCAAAGCCATTTGGATCTATTCGCACAGGTTTTTATTATTTTAGGCATACTCTGCAAGACAACATCACTCACACCCTTTCCCACCGCCCTGTTCCCAAGCCGCACAGGGCCTTTTGCAGATATTGCATAGAGGTACTCATAATGGAAACTCGGACGGCTGTGCAAAGGACCTGCGTGCAACAGAGAACAAGCCTTTGTTGTAAGGCCAGCAGTACTGAGCTTTATTTGGCTAAGTTATTTTACTGAGTGCAGTGAGCTCTGACGTCAGTGTCTGCTGGGGCGCGGCGGTGGCCGTGATGGGCCCTGATAGCCACATTACAGCCCCCAATGTCTGGGTGGCGGGCGACCCACAGTCGCAGCGAAGTGACGGCGAATTCGCATTGTCGTGTTATCTCGTTGCGAGCAGTTACCTGCGACGTCCTTGTTCATGTGCATCGTCCAACTTACACGCGGGGTTAATGTACCGGACACAATAGCATGTAACCTTTTTACTTACCAAACACCTTGAATTATAAAAGGCCGTTTTCGCCCGAGGCCTTCAACTCTGCATGGGACTGCGGGAAGGGCGTCAGCGAGTGGTGACGTGCCGTCTGACCTACTTTCACGCCACGGACCCGTGTGGTGCTGTAAAGATGGCCGGAAACTTTCATCACCGACTTCTTCGCGAATGCAACTACTTTTGTGAAATCAGCTGCTATTTTCCCGTCCAGCGCGCCATCATTGTGTTTTTGCTCTCGAACGGTGACTGCGACTGTGTCCAGGCAGAAAAATGCGAGCCACTTATAACAGAACGTGCGCGGACCAGTGGTGCACCTCCTGCATTTTGTTCATTTCCTCTCGTTCCGTTCCCCTCCCCTCCACCCAGACTTTGTCCTCCTACCCAAGCCCACCGCCCTCAGTTGTGTAGCCAATCAGCAAGCGGTCCCCCCCCCCCCCCCCCCAAGGGCACAAAGTCGTTGGCGGACGTGCGCTGCGCCGTGAACCTGCTTCTATCAGCTAACGTGGTGATGCGCATTCGCACTTCGACGAGTAGTGACACGCCGCGCATGCGTCGGACATGCGCGTGACATGTGGCAGATGACGTGGTCGACACAAGTTTCACATGGTCGCGAAATGAAACTGAAGATGCCAAAATCTATTCCGTGCGAGAACAAACAGCTTGTGCAGGATCCATCAGTGGATGCGCCCAATTGGGTTTTAAATGCTCGAAAGCAGTAAGGAATTGGTCGGCTTTCTGTTTTCCTTCCACTTATCATTGTGAACCATGCAGTTTCAAATTTAAAAGGTTATATTAGATCGCGCGCGCTAGAAGACATCGAGTTGGTAATGTTGCCATGAGTCGTTTAAATTGTAATGGCATTGATAGGCGCCAGTTAGAATTAATCGTAATGTGATAACCCGGACGTCACCACGTTGTTCAGTTCTGTGCGCCACGCCTCTGTCTTTGTCACGTCCCTATCGGGATGCGCTCGCCGGCTCGCCTACCCGCCCTATGCCTGTGTCACCCTCCGCCCCCCCCCCCCCCCCACATACCCATGCATCCGCTCGGCGATGCATGACTGCACCAGAGCCGTCCGCGGCCGCCGCCGGCTAGCCGCACGGGGCTGCGTCACCACTGCGAGCCGGACGTGCCCGGCCGGCCCTCCGGGCTCCAGGGCCGGCCTGCGTGCAGGCCCCCAGTGCACGGCCGCCAGAGGTCGGAGGAACAGCCAACCTGTACCCGAAGTTCGTGTTTCCAGATCTCAGCCACCGTATTCTGGGCTTTTGGGAAAGCTGGCCAGCAATTCGTCTTCATTCTTGCTTTTGTGTTCTCATGCTTAAGAGGTGGAAGGTCGCGCTACGGAAGTGCACTACGAACACAATCATCTCATATGCTAAGGGTCTTCCAAGGCTTCACGGTTCTCGGACCACCGCCCCGGCGTCTTCCGATGACGCTGACCCTGATGCAGTGCCTCAGTCCCACTATGTTGCTGATTCCACTGCTTCCGTCTTCGCCCTCATGCGCGCCTGACTCCCTGTTCTCCATACTCCCGAGAGTCGGGGTTCCCTGCTGCCGTGACTCGGCCTCCTGTGAGTCGTTCTCCCCTGATCCCCTGACGTCGTGGCTCGTCCTCCAGTGAGGAAGACTTCGCCGCCACCTCACCCTCCAGAGACCTATGTCTTGCCCTCCGGAGAGCTGTGCCTCGCCTCCGCAGAGCTATGTCTCACCCTCCAGAGAGCTGCGCCTCGCTCTCCAGAGAGTGCACTCCCGTTCTACGGTGTCGTGGCGTCCTCCGGCGAGGCTGACCCTGCCACCGCGCCGCGCAGGGAGCCGGATCGAGCACGAGGCGCGGTGCCCGGTGTCGGGCTCGTACAGCGGCGTTATCCCCGACACGGACGGCCAGCTGTGCGCGAGGCTCCGCTCCGACTGCACCAGCTCGCAGAGCATGTTCTACACGGTGACCAGCTGCGCCAACGCCTCGCACATTTTCGAAAGTAAGTTACCGGGCTGGAGGGATGCAAGTTCGCGGGGCTGGGGCTGCGTTTTGTCGAGAGGAGGGTGGCCGGCCGGTGGGGCTTCACGACTGGTCGGGACCGCGCCACTGTGATGACAACTAACAAGATGACTTCGAGGAGTGTCTGCTGTCCGAGCTCTGTGGCGGTAACTGTTCTCTTTTTCGGGCCAGTTGGAGTCAGTCTTGTGTCAACTGCTGCTGCAAACACGATGACGGGATCCAGTACGCTCCAGAATCAGATATCTCGGACATATTGGGCCTCATGACATCGCTGGTCTGATTACACATCAACGCTGCGCTCAAGTGCAACCGATTCAGGGGACTGGAACCGCGCACCAAACCGCAGGTTAAACTCAGCAGTTGTATCCATTGGAACCGAACCCAACGGCGTACATTCAAACCCGTCTTTGAACTGTTATTCATCCTACCCTTCTGTTCGACATTTAACCCACGACTTCACCGGCGTCCCCCGGATGACCGCCGATGGGCGCCGCACGTGGCGGGACGTTCACGGCGCCGCCGTTTCCAGGAGGGCGTCCCTCCGCGCCCCGCCCCGCCGTCATACCCATCGGCTCGGGCCCCGTGCGCACCGTGTCGCGCGCCGACCTGCAGCCGGCGGCCTGGCCGGGCGCGCCGTCCGGCGGCCGGCGACGTGGTGGCCGGCAGCGGCGCGACAGCGCGCGCTACCACGTCTCGCAGCCGCGCACGACCCGCATCAGCTACGCCCTGCCGCCGGGCCGCGCGTCGGTCACGTCCAGCACGACCGACGCCTACGGCGACGACGCCTACGACCCGTGGACGTACCCGGAGCGGTTCGGCGGCGGGGGTGACGAGGGAGCGGGAGGGGCTGACGGAGAGGAGCGGGAGCCGGCGGACGGCGGGCCGGCGCCGGGCGAGGAGCGCGGGCTGGGAGAGGACTCCGGCGACGACGACACGACCGGTCGCCGCGCGGATCAGCCAGGCGGAGACGTAGTACCGAACCGGGGTGACGGAGCGGAACAGGGGCTTGGATCGAATCGGGAATATGGATCGAATCGAGGGCATGGATCTGATCGAGGATATGGATCGAATCGAGAGCATGGATCGGGTCGAAGATATGGGTCAGATCGAGGTCATGGATTGGACCGAGGTTATGGATCGGATCGAGGTTATGGATTCGATCGAGACCATAAATCGGGTCAAGGTCACGAATCAGACCGCAGTCATGGATCGAATCGAGGTTATGGGTCGGACCGAGGCCATGGATCGGAGCAACGGCATGGGTCGGATCAACACCACGGATCGGATCAAGGCTATGGATCCAATCGAGACCATAAATCGGGTCAGGGTCACGAACCCGATCGCAGCTATGGATCGAATCGAGGCTATGGGTCGGATCGAAGCCATGAATCAGGTGATAAAAGTCATGAAATGGATCGAAGTTATGGATTGGATCAAAGTTATGGGTCGGGTCAGGACTTTGAGCCGGGTGAAGGCGACAGACCGAACCTTGGCTACGCACCGGACCGAAGTCATGGACTAAACAGGGACTTCAGACCGGACGGGGGATATGGAAAGGCTCAGGGTTACAGGCCAGACGAAGCCATCAGACCGCATCAGGGCTATGGATCGAACCAAAGCTACAGACCGGGCCAGGGCTTTGCACCGGACCAAAGCTACAAGCCAGACCAGGGCTATGGACCGAACCAGAGCTACAGACCGGACCAGGACCGAATGCCGGACCAAGAATGGAGACCGAATCAAAGCCGGAGGCCTGACAAGGGCAGGTCGCCTGACCCGGAGCGCGGGCCGGGCCGCGGCTGGCGGCCGGACATCGCCCGGGGCTCTGGACAGTCGCCCCCGGGACCACAGCAGACGCCGGTATGGTGGCTGCAGGAAGGCGACCCGGGCCGGAGTCCAGGCCGCGGATCGGACCCCGCCGACGACCCGATGGGCAGCTTCAGCGGCGGTCGGCCGATCCAGCCGGTCCGGCCTGCGCCAGATCCGATCCAACCGGCGTCAGGTCAGATCCGGCCAGATCAGATCCGGCCTGCGCCAGATCCGATCCGACCAGACCAGATCCGGCCGGCGCTAGATCCGATACGGCCGGCGCGGCCCCCGTTCGATCCGACGCGGACGCCGCACTTCGGGGGCCCGGAGCTGCCGGTGCCAGACCCCGTCACAGTCGCCCCCGCGCCGGAGAAGAAGCGCCGATTGCCGCCGGCCGCTTACCACGAAGGTACGACTGCACCAGCACTGCACGGCTCGACGCGGGACTGCACCGACTGCACCTGTGATTGCCCGCAGTGGCGTTATGACCGGCACTTGTGAAGGTCCACAGTGACTTCATTACTAGCACCTGTGACGGCACACAGAGGCTTCATCAACGGCACTTGTCACGGCCCACAGAACCTTTATCATCGGCACCTGTCACGGACCACAGAAGCTTCATCATCGGCACTTGTGACGGCCTACAGTACCTTTATCACCGGCACCTGTCACTACCTACCGTGGCTTCATCACCAGCACTTGTGACGGCCCACAGTGCCTTTATCACCGACACCTGTCACTGCTTACCGTAGCTTCATCACCGGCACTTCTGACGGCCCACAGTGCCTTTATCACCGGCACCTGTCACTACCTACCGTGGCTTCATCACCAGCACTTGTGACGGCCCACAGTGCCTTTATCACCGACACCTGTCACTGCTACCGTGGCTTCATCACCGGCACTTCTGACGGCCCACAGTGCCTTTATCACCGGCACCTGTGACGGCCTACAGTGGCTTCATCACCGGCACTTGTGACGGCCCACAGTGCCTTTATCACCGGCACCTGTGACGGCCTACAGTGGCTTCATCACCGGCACTTGTGACGGCCAACAGTGTCTTTATCACCGGCACCTGTTGCTACGTGGCTTCATCACCGGCACTGACGGCCCACGTGGCTTTATCACCGGCACCTGTGACTGCCTACAGTGGCTTCATCACCGGCACTTGTGACGGCCAACAGTGTCTTTATCACCGGCACCTGTCACTGCCTACCGTGGCTTTATCACCGGCACCTGTGACTGCCTACAGTGGCTTCATCACCGGCACCTGTGACTGCCTACAGTGGCTTCATCACCGGCACTTCTGACGGCCCACAGTGCCTTTATCACCGGCACCTGTGACTACCTACGTGGCTTCATCACCGGCACTTGTGACGGCCCACAGTGCCTTTATCACCGGCACCTGTGACGGCTACGTGGCTTCATCACCGGCACTTGTGACGGCCCACAGTGCCTTTATCACCGGCACCTGTGACGGCCTACCGTGGCTTCATCACCGGCACTTGTGACGGCCCCAGTGCCTTTATCACCGGCACCTGTGACTGCCTACAGTGGCTTCATCACCGGCACTTGTGACGGCCCACAGTGCCTGTTACCTGTCACGAACCACAGAAGCCTCCCCACCGGCACCTTTGACGGTCCATGGTGTCTTCACCATGCGAGACCTTTGTCTGCAGTCTTTTTCATGCGGCGTGTCGTCCCTTGGTTACGCGTTATGTAGAATGTGCTCCTGTCTGCACTGGACTCAAGTTCAGCTGAGCAGCTGAATTCCAGGCCATTTCGATTACCGACCCTTTGCATTTTGTGTCCATGCCCGGTTTAAACACACAAGGTAATCATTCCACGATAGTGTTGCAATTGTAACGCTTCGAAACGTCCCAGTGGCGACTTTAAACCTTACAAGCCGGTTGTGTCTGCCTCAGATTGCGGACCATGTGTTTGTTTCTCATCTTTTCACGCCCAATGGAGCGCCTTTGATGGATAATTGGGAGCATACTGCATGCGTGCCCTGTGCTCCGCCCCGCCCCGTCCCGCTCCCACGTTACCGTCGATCTGCCATGGTTGGGAGCTGCTCTCGTCCCGGGCTCGATCGGCGAGCCGCGCCGGCCCTCCACGCCGGTCAGACCACAGCGGGCCGGAGGTCCGGCTCGGCGCTGGGATGGCCGGGCTCGCCCTTCCTGTGCCCGGTCGCCACTTCCGGGGCGGGGCGTCGTGCGCGGCCACCGCCCCCCCCCCCCCCTCCCTGCCCCTCCCCTACACCTGGCGCGCGGCGGCCGCGCCCCGTGCCGCGCGCGTGTGGTGCGTGCTCGGTGGAGCGCTACAGGACGGACGCCGTGCCTCCACGCTAAGAGAGGAACAACCGTACCAAAATGTGTGCCATCGGTGCCGGACACTGCAGGCATTTATTGCTGCTACTCCGGATGTGCATTTGCGGGTTGTTATAGGTTTTGTCTTTGAAGGTCTCTTTGGAGACTTTCTACCTATGGCAGGATGCAGTTGATCGACAGAATTAATTGTCTTTAGCAAAAAGTTAGAAAATAGCGTGATTTCTGATGAGACTTGAAGGATAAAACGCTAAGGAGTAAATGTGCCGTCCACCTCCGTGGGCAGGTCAGGCCATTTCGTTTGGAGCTCGTCTCGGCGGGTAATGGATCCATGAACGCTGGCTGCAGCGGTGTGGCAGGTGTGCTGCAAAACGACTGGCGTGAAGCTTCACTGGATAAACGTGCCGGAACCTGGCAGGGCTGTAAACAGACGCGGGTCTCTGCCTCAACGAGAACTACGTGAGGGACTTACATGGGTTCATGGAGGGACAATTCCCCCCACTTTGCTCCAAGTGTCTCAGACGGAGGGCTTAATTGCCTAAAAATTGTTCACTTGCAAACTACGTTTTGCACTGAAGAATTTTCATTGTCCTCGCATGGCGTAATGTGCACATTTTGCATTGCATTGTTTGCACTGCGCTATTGTAGCTCGCTGCACCCTGGGGTTTGAAGTGTGTTGTTAGCTTTTTCCCACACAATGCTGCCGTTTTGTGCAGAGTCTTTGTCCTCCCGTAGGCCTTTTTACAAGGTCTGTTAGCATTCGCCCATCTCAGAGCACAGTGGCTGCCCTTTATGCCGCGAGCTTATGTGACTTGGCGCTCTGAAGCGCATCACCACTGGCGGCTTTGTGTAGCAGCCTGGCTGCGACTGAAAACGTATGGACAGAACTCTGGGAACCAACGCGCCCTCTTGCTTGGGCATTCTTCCGCTAGTGAACTATCATTTAAATCATCGGCGTGAATGCAGATTCTCTGGCCTCGCCCTTTGAGTCTGAGTGGCTGCAAGTTGTAAAGTCTCCTGAGGTATCAAATGGGCCTGTTTGTTCTGCTTGTGCATATTCTGCGCGTGGTGTGGCAGCCATCTGGGAACAACAACGCAAGACATGAGGCAATTCCCTCTCTTCTTTTCCTGCCAGGAACCACTGAAGCGCCGCCGGTGTCCACGCCGGGAGCGTAGACGCCGTGCCTTTCCGCCCGAGAGGGAGCTGTGAGCGTGCCTGCCTGACCCCGGCGCCTCCGGTGTCCGCAGAGCGCGAGTACCGCTGCCTGGGCTCGTGGACGGAGGGCGACGTGCTGTACACGTACACGCAGCGGCGCGACGCGCTCTCCTACGAGTGCTTCGTCGGCCGCGTCATGGCTGACGGCCGCGTCTTCATCGGCGAGGCCGGCACCGACGAGGGCTGCCGTCGACGCGTCGACCCCACGCGCACGGGGATGCTGATCACGCAGACGGGTGAGTCCCGCACCGCGCGACGACACTGGTCCTAGCCGGGGGGAGACGGCCAAGGACATGGCAGTCATTACTCGCCAGGATGGAACAAGGATGCACTCACCGGTTCTGTGCCAAATGTCAAGCAGCACAGAGCCGGTGAGTGGCAAGTAGCAAGTGGCAAATATCACCAAGGGCTTTAGACTTGAAAAAACTTGTGGAAAGTCTGTGCCATGTCGCCTTGCCGCGTGGTATATCCGGGCTTCAGGCATATTTAAGGAATAACTGTTTACTCACCTTGGAGTGATTAGCAAACTTCTCAGACCATGCCTTCCTTTCTGACTTTTAGGGATAGCATTAGTCTTGGCCAACCACTCTGCAATATCTTAGCTTTGTCGAAGGTGTATGCAGCGCGCGGCACAAATTTTCGTCAGGGCTAATTTACAGATTCCGTTCATTGGTCAAGTGCCGGCACTTACAGCCCGTCGTGCTTTTACGTCATCTGCTGACATTACGCAGCTGCAGCTGCTAACAAGTACCTTTTCATCTTCAAGACATATCACGGAAGCTAATTAGCAGTTTGGCACAAAGGGCATCAAAAAGACGCGATTCACATTGTAAGGACAAGTGAGTGTGTGTCCCGGTCGTTACTTATGTAAGCGACGTGCTCGCATGGACGCCTCGCGCTAAACTGTGTCCCTGTCCCTGGAATGTGCCTTGGTCGTCTCTCTAGCTGACCGTGCTGCTGCGCTCGCACGGCAGCACCCTGCCGTGACGGTGCCGAGACGTCGGAGCCGCCGCCGCCGACGGCGCCGCGGCCGTCCGACGGCCGGCGGACCCGCCCAGGCGGCGCCGCCCACCCGGGCGCCGCCGGCGCGGGGGCGGCCCGCCGGCGACAGCGGGCGGCGCCGGCCGACGAGGCCGAGCCGGCCCAACCGGACCACCACCCGCGGCTGGAGGCCGATCACAGGTCAGTCGGATGGTCAGGGGTCACCTTCGTCTCAGGTTCGTCGTGGCCGTTTGCCCGTCGTAGGTCAGTGACTGTCACGTATCTGAGGTCAGTGATGAGGATCGCCCATCGTTGTGCGATGTTGAACACCTTCCGGATATAGAGGGCCAATTTAATCGCACCCCACCCATCACCATGCGGAATGCATTGGCGTCTCTGTTAACGTTGAAGTGCTCTATTGCCCTGGTAGCCGATTGACGCCTTGCAGCTGTCGTTTGGCGTCACCAGATGGCTCTGGTTGTTTCAGCACGACCGGGCCGACGCAGTTCAGCCGCCCGCCGCCAGGTGTCAGCACCGACGCTGGCGAGCCTGGTGGCGGCGCTGCTGCTGGCGCGCTGCTTCCGCTAGCCGTCCGGCACCGTCCGAGCTTCTGTCACGTTGTCTGCGCTTGCGTTCCGGACCTCCTCAGGGTCAGGAATCCTCGTCCGGACTGCTGGTCCGGGCCTCCCCAGGGTCCGGAGTTCTCGTCCGGACTGCTGGTCCGGGCCTCCCCAGGGTCCGGAGTCCTCGTCCGGACTGCTGTTCCGGGCCTGCTCAGTGGCGGAGCCTCCGGTCTGAACCGGCTGGCCCCGGACCTCAAGGGTTGTTGCCCTCCGTCCGAGTCTCTGCCGGGCGTCGTGCACCTTCGCCGAGGCCTCGCACAGCGCCCGGGAGAGGACGTCTTGGCCACGTTGTCATGTACAAGTCAGCACATCGCCCGTAGCCAACTGTGATATTCCGTTTAGCCGCTATTGGTTGCGATTGCTAGCCGCAGCGTCGCAACAGCGTCTTGTATATCGGTGTATGTAAGCGGCGCTGTTTGCATGGGTCCTGCACTTGACTGTAGCTGGTTGAATATTGAACAGACGTGTGTGTTGCACTTTATTCGTTGGTGACGTCACGGAAGAAGAGTCCGGTAATGTAACGTGCGTGCGAATGTGCGTCCACGTGTAAGTGCACGTGCGTATGTAACGCACGTGCGAATGTAAGAATGCGGCCGCTGTGTGGTCCTCACTTTGGGTAGTGTTGCCATGTGACCTGGTACTGACGTGGCGCCGGTGGGTTTTCACAGGCGCGAGATGCGTTTTATATGCCTATATACTGACGTGATGTGCCACTACATTTGTACTGACCCTAACGAACAGATACAATGAATGGTTATCGTGACCCACGAGCATGAAATCAACAAATATATGACAGCCTTACGGCTACTATGCTTAACGCGTCGCGTTTGAATGTTAGTATATTTGGTTGACAAAGACGGTATTTGATCAGCCCATGGTACTTGGATCATCAAAGGCAACAAGCTGGCGAAGAGGAAGCCGGGTCGGCCAAGAGCTCACGGGCCCCGGGGTTTTGTGATGGCGGCAGTCTCTTGCGCTGCCGTCCGGCAAGCAGGCCAATGCAAAAACTTCCGCTGGTCTCGGACGTCTCTTCCGCGGTGGGGGGGGGGGGGGGGAGGGGCTGTGATCGGGGGCATCGCAACAGGCTGCGCTTGCCGCAATTTACGGTCCCATCCCCTTTCATGCAAGACAACCAATGTAATTTCTTATTTCGACCACAGCCGAAGCGCAGGCTTTCAGCGGCTTGGCAGCTTTGAAAACGCGACAGACGGGCGGGTGAGGCCGCGAACAGATGTCTCCCAATCTTTGTGGGACGCATGACTGCGATGACGCTGTGATTGCGAACTGTCGTCGTGGTCAATAAGCGTGAATCGGCGAGGCGAATGATGGTAAAAACACGCTTGCTTCACAAACGGATGCACAAACATGCCACGCTGTCGCATTCTATATTTTATTTGATACGTCTTGTGACGAAGGGTGTCTTTCGCAGGAAGTCACATAGGTCCGTTTCAAAACCACAGTAATGTGTCACTGCATTTCAGCTAGCATCCACAGGCCCCTTATTTGCAACAGGTACTCGAGAAAACGACAAAAACACCCACTGACTCAACAAAACCCCGTTTGCACCTCGTCGCACCCATGGCGCACGAGGGCGGACGCAAAGCAGCCAAACTAACGCATACGCACACACCAAGCGTCTGCTCGACATTTCAACATGCGTATCTCTCGCAAGCACGCATCTTTGCCCGCAGCATTCTCAATAGTACTCATTCGGCGAAAAAGAGCTAGGAATACGCCACGACTGAATGAATCCCGGGGAGCAGACGTATATGCAGCTCAAGAGCGAGCACTGTGAAGGACCCGAGATGCGCAGAGACGTTCACACCGAGGCTGGACCTTGGTTCGGTCTAGGCCTCGCTAGTTGGCTTTGGTTGTTAGCTGTCTTTCTTTACAGGTACTCTCTCCGCTCTGAGCCCATCCCACCCCTCGTGTGTCGCACCCACACCCCTTCTCGCATCCCACCCCTCGCCACCCCCACCGCTTCTCGAGCCTCATGGATGGAGATCGCGAACATGATAACAACGTTTGTACACACGAAACAGGCGGCAACAGGACGCGATTCACAAAAACCTCAGCGCGGCCCAGCACTTGCGCGGGCAGCCGGTCTCCACGCGGCCGTGGGAGCGGGCGGCGCGTGTCGCCACCGTGCCCCTCCCACCAGCTCACGCGCTGTCAGCGGACCTCACTCCCCGGGCGACCTCGGCGTGTCCTGGCACGAGGCACTGCCCACCCTATCACAGGCTGTCGCGGCCACGCCCCGGTGGGCGGTCCCATCAATCGAACACACCGCTCCTGGCGGCGTGTGGGTCTCCAAGGTCATGGCCTCCCAGGCCAGGACCCCTCCACGGTCACCGTGGCCGCCTGCTCGACACACATCGCCAGCGATCCCGCCGTCGGCGTCCCGCCGCCACGACGGCGGCCGCTGGAGGGCGCGCAGGCGGCGCTGGTGTCGCCACATCGCGCGCGCGCCGGACGCCGCGTGGAGCGGCGTAACAGCACGGCGTGCAGCGTCATCTCGCAAGGCACCGGCCGCACCAGGCGGCATGCGGGCGACGGCGACAGCAGCGCCCGCAGCGCCATCTCACATGCCGGCGGGCGCGTCGAACGGCATGCCGGGGTCGGCGGGCGGCAGCGTCATGGCGGGGCGCATGACCTCGGCCACGCCCAGCGGCGCTGGCCGCGGCCCCGGCTCCGGCGTGTAGGTGAACGTCAGGCCCGTCGAGTAGATGACGCCGTCGTTACGCACGAGACACACCGGCACCTGCACGAGGCGAGAGAAGTTAGCGCGCCGTCGTCACGCCGGTCGAGATGGGACAGCACGATAGTGACCAGGCGGGACCCACTGAACAGGGGGGGGGGGGGGAGGACTGCGAATAAACGGGGCATGGTCATGGAACAAAAATAAACCGTGGAAATGTAACGCTAGCAAGTGGGGATTTGGTAGGCAGCTTTGGACTATATCTATTCATGACAACATAGTTCTGTATTTGATGGAAACAGACTAAGTTACCAGCCAAAGGCTATTCGATTTTCCAATGGCTGTGGCATCACAACTGCCCGAGTTGTGATGTCACAGCCTTTTTTAGCAACTGCTGTAGCCGTCTCATTGAAAAGAAAGCACCACGTCATCAAAACGAATTTCGGCCAAATCTTACTGACCGACGCATGCAGGTTTATAATCGTACTCGACACAAAGCTCACTACAATCGGACATGAATGGCGCCGTAAGCACGACGGCATCCTGGCAACGTGCGAGACAGCAAAGCGGCCGCTCGGCTGGAGCGGTACTCACGTTGGTGGGCTGACGCACCCACTGCCAGTTGCCCCTGAAAGCCGAGATGTCGGGCACCACGCACAGCATGGACTCGCCGCAGCGGAACATGGTCTCGGCCTCCACCTCGCCGAACCAGACGCGCAGCGTCGGCACGAAGTTCTCCCCCGTCAGCTCCAGCATGGCCACCTCGCCTCCACCGTTCAGCTGCCGGGCAGACCCGCGCCGGGTCAGAGCGGGTTGGCCACGTTCTCTGGCGCCCGTACAGCAACACCGCACATCGGCACCGACGTGCCGACCATCCCTCCGGGAAACAACAGATCTGGTGAACGGGGTGCCACTCGTCGGCTTCGTCACACCGTGCATTGGGCACCGGCATACCCACACCGCGCATCAGTGCCGGCATACCACGCGTCAAAAACCTCCATCAGCATACAGCCCGGTCATCGCGCACGTATCATACATGGGCATCTTTAGATCGGAGGTAACAGCACCCGTATTCTCTCGCCCGTCCCACATCAGCAAGCGGCGTCGCGGCCAGGGCGGCGCCGGCCGATCACTCACGTGGAGGCTGTGCACGTTGGGGACGGGCGTGACGGGCGCGCGGACCGGGCCCATGCCCTCGTGAAAGCTGTACTCGGCGCGGCTGGTCGAGATGATGGTCCAGCAGGCGCCGTCGTTGATCATCTGCTTGTTGGTCTCCTTGGGGCACGGCGTCGCCTGGCGGGCAGGGTGGCGTCACGCTCGGCGCCGCAGAAAAGCACTAGATACCTCGAAGGACAGCACGCTTTCGGCGGGCACGTCGAGGAAGGTTGAGCTGGAGGCTTCGTGATGAATTAGCCCAGCGTGGCAGCTGGGGCTGCGCGTTCACAAGTTGCTGGATGAAGAAATGAATGTGTAGGACGGCAAGCTGTGTACGATTATGAAGAACCAAAGGCGATTCCTGGACGTGCGGTAACGAAGTGTGATGAAATTTCACAGCTCTAATCAACTAGACAGTTCGTTGGAAAAAGATACGAGCAGAATAAGATTTTATGTTGAAGTCTTAAGTTTTATAAGGCTTTGAATGTAACTTTTGTACGCGTGGCTGCGTCGCCGGCGGGCGAGACGTGCAGCCAAGCGTTCCCCGTAAAACTGATTTCAGAAACCTGCCTACGCTCATCCACACGCAACAGTGAGCAAACTTAGAGATTGGCATCAAACCAACGGAGATTACATCGGAATACAAGCAACGCGCGGCCACCGACCGAAACAAAAATGGTCAAGACCTCCGCGCAGCGATGTAATCTGAGCACTTGTGCCACCAGATGCGCCGGCAGTCCTTGCAACCCATCCTGTTCATCGGTGCGGTGGCCTGATCCGGGCGTCCTTGCAGTGAGCCCGTGTCATCGGCCGCACAGTGACTCGGTCCGGCCACTTGCGCGTGACCTGGCGCGCTTAGGTCACCGGTTACGCTCACCTGAAACTGAATGATGCGCTCCTGGCTGAGGCAGAGGTACATGCGCTCCGTGTCCTTCATGTAGAAGGCCACCTTGTGCAGCTGCGAGACGGGGTCGTCGCCGTCCAGCAGCGCCATCTGCTTGTCCACCTTGCGAATCACGAGGCGCGGCAGGGCCATGCCCGTCTCTGAGCAGACCAGCTTGACGGTGGCGCCGTAGTGGATGTAGCCGTCACGCACGGTGAACTCCTCCGAC